GTCGGATGAGGACAAAGAAATCATTGAGAAGGCAGTAGAGGAGAAGATTGAGTGGATGGAGTCACACCAGGAGGCTGAGCTGGAAGACTTCCAGGCTAAGAAGAAGGAGCTTGAGGAAGTGGTACAACCAATTATCAGCAAGCTTTACGGCAGTGCAGGAGGACCACCACCAGAGGGCGCAGAAGCCGAGCAAGACGAGAAGGATGAGTTGTAGGCAAGTTTGCCATCAACTGTTTTGTCGCCCCTTGCCTCTCTGTTAGTGGCACTTAGATGTACATAATGAACTGATGAGACTCAAATCGTGAGAGGAACGGTTGGGAAGGGGTGGCCATAACAAGCAACCCTACTAAATCCTCTGAAAGACTTTAAAAAAAACAAACAAGTTTCAGTGTGTGAGAGGTGTTCTCTTCGCTGGAAGGCGGAGATATTCGTCAGCCTGGATATGAGGCTTGCTGCTGCTGTTCTCAGGCAGTCCTGTTGGGGTGATGTTGTGGGGAGGGACTTAGTGGGTGGGTTGGGGCAGGTGTTAGTGGGTCATTTGAGTTGGAAGTCTGTGGGATCAAGGACTCATTATGTCCACAGTCAAGGCTAAAAGTTATTTATTGAATCTGGTCGTTGTACTTCTGGAAAGACATTGAAATAAATGTTTGATAAAAAAATCCAAATCTGGTGTCTGTCATTTCATAGTGTACCTGGTCACAATCAATATTTCAGCCTTTTGTAGCACTAAGATGAATTCTCAAGAGCTCCAAACTTGGAAACCCGCCATTTCAGTATTCATAGAATTAAAAAATGTATCTTGGGTTTGTTGATTTAATCAAGACAGAAGAGTTCTTAAAAACAATTTCTTTAAACTTTAGTGAGTATTACATCATCATGAAACCACAGTCACAACACAGTCATTATGAATGACACCCTGGGTATCCATCCCTCCAAATACAAAGGCCAAATGTATTGTCTCTGAGGCTGTTGGGCAGTCGGCCTGCTCCTTATCTCCATTCCCCTCAGCATGCACCGTCCAGGGCAATAAACACATGGAGTGGTCCAGGCGGTTGGGGGGCATATCCCCTTCAAACTTCATAAGGACCCATCTGCTTTTGTCTGCAAACATAATGGATAACATTGGAGGTTTAAACTTCTCAACCACAGTTTTACGACAATTAAAGACAATTTACAACGATTAAAGTGTGGCCAGCGGGACAGACTCTGTACTTCAGGACAAGTTCCATCACACAGACTGGAGTATGTTTGCTTCTCAGGCTACCTTGGGCTCTCACACAGACATTGACACCTACACTTCTTCTGTGCTGGATTATATCAACACCACCATCGACAGTGTTACAACATGGAAGCAGATCACCACGTACCCAAATCAGAAGCCATGGATGAACAAGGAGGTGCGTCTCCTGCTGAAGGCCCGCAACACCGCCTTCAGATCAGATGATGCAATGGCCTACAGCGTATCCAGGGCAAACCTGAGGAGGGGCATCATCAAGGCCAAGCACTGCTACAAGCTGAAGGTTGAGGAACACTTCTCCAACTCCGACCCCAGACGCATGTGGCAGGGCATCCAGGCCATCAGTGACTATAAACCCAGAAACTCCACCCCGATAACCACAGATGTCTCCTTCCTGAACGAGCTAAATCACTTTTATGCTCGTTTCGATAGAGACAACAGAGAGACGCAGACCACGACCAGACCTCCTGCAGACAACCAGCCCCTCTCACTCACCTCCACAGACATCCACGCTGCACGCTCGAAAGGCTGCTGGTCCAGACAGCACCCCCGGGCGCGTGCTTAGAGCATGTGCGGAGCAGCTCACTGGGTTTTTACGGACATCTTCAACCTGTCCCTCGCCCAAGCAGCTGTGCCAGCATGCTTCAAAGCCACCTCCATTGTCCCAGTGCCGAAACACTCCAGCCCGACAGGCCTGAACGACTACCGCCCTGTAGCACTCACACCCATCATAATGAAGTGCTTTGAGCGACTGGTCCTAGCACACCTGAAAAACTGCCTCCCACCCACACTGGACCCATTCCAGTTTGCCTACCGCAGCAACAGGAGTACAGAGGATGCAGTCTCCACTGCGCTGCACTCTGTGCTCACTCATCTGGACAATAACAACACATATGCACGAATGCTGTTTGTTGATTTTAGCTCAGCATTCAACTCTGTCATCCCCTCCAAGTTAAACACTAAACTCGGAGACCTGGGCTTCAACACCTCCCTCCGTCACTGGATAATGGACTTTCTGACCAACAGACCCCAGTATGTTAGGTCAGGACACACCTGCTCCACCACCATCACACTCAACACAGGCGTACCACAGGGCTGTGTGCTGAGCCCATTCCTCTACTCCCTCTTCACTCACGACTGCAGACCTGTACATGGATCCAACACCATCATCAAGTTTGCGGACGATACAGCGGTGATTGGCCTCATCAGCAACAACGATGACACGGCCTACAGGGAGGAGGTACAGCATCTGGCCGCCTGGTGTGCTGACAACAACCTGCTCCTCAACACCAGCAAGACGAAGGAGATCATCGTAGACTTCAGGAGAGAAAGAGGAAGCACGCACAACCCCATTCACATAAACGGGATGGCTGTTGAACGTGTCTCCAGCTTCAAGTTCCTGGGGACCCACATCACAGAGGACCTCTCCTGGTCCACTAACACCTCCAGTCTGGTTAAGAAGGCTCATCAACGCCTCTTTTTCCTGAGGACACTGAAGAGACACCACCTGTCTTCAGCTGTACTGATGAACTTCTACCGCTGTGTGATCGAGAGCATCCTGACCAGCAGTGTCTCAGTCTGGTACGGAAACTGCTCTGTCGCAGACCGTAAGGCGCTACAGCGGGTGGTAAAAACCGCCCAGCGCATCACAAGGTGTCCACTTCCTGCCATTGAGGATGTCCAAAGAACACGCTGTCTGCGGCGAGCTCATGGCATCCTTAAAGACTCCTCCCACCCTGCCCACAGACTGTTTACCCTCCTCCGTTCAGAAGCCTCCGGACCAGAACCAGCAGACTGAGGAACAGCTTTTTCCCCAGAGCTGTTTCTCTACTGAACTCTACCCCCGAACTCTGAACTCTGTCTCTCTCTCTCCCCCCCCCCTTTCCCCTGCATATCACCTCACACCCATCATCCCCCCACCACTCCTCCTGGTCACACACACACATCTCTCAACCTGTATTATTGTATTATAGTATGTTCATATTATGTCCATATTCTTTATATTATCTGTAAACTAGTATAGCATGCTCACTGCATCTTAATCTGTATATTATTAGTATAGCATGCTCACTGCACCTTAATCTGTATATTATAATCCTAAGAATACACTTATTTTGTAGCATCACTTATTTATAGCATTTATTTATATTTATTGCATCCCATTAATCCAGCCATCCAGAAATACCTAATAATTCACTTTTTTGTCTACATCTGTAAATTTTGTAATTACTGTACATAGCACAGACTCTTGCACTTTCTGCTTATTTGCACTTCTGGTGAGATGCCAAACCTCATTTCGTTACTCTATACTTGTATATGTGTAATGACAATAAAGTTGAATCTCATCTCATCTCATCTCTCATCTTTTAAATGTAATACAACTTTGTGTATGATGTGATAAGGTACAAATATTCAATGACAAGATTAATGAAAATTCTATTACCAGTGTTGAATCTATACATGGAGTTGGTCGCTCCTTCTGCTGTCATTCCCCCAAAGATATAGATGTTCTTTCCCAAAGCCACAGCTGAGTGGGCTGCTACTCCTGGTGGGATATTTCCTTTGACTTGCACCTTCTCCCACTTCATGATCTCTTTGAACAGTAGACACTTTGTTTTATTTTTTTAATCAAACAAACATGACATTCCCAAGTTTTGAGGCTCTTTATTTTATCATTCAGAAAACTTTGAAAATAGATTTTATTTTTTTAAATCACACACAAAACGTATTACACTTCAGGAGTATCAGTCTTACTTGTATCGAAGAGAACACGTCATTGTGGAATTTGTCCCCGGCCATGCCCCCATGGATGTAGATCTTTGAACCTGCTGCTACGATAACATGGCCATGTTTGTCTGGCGGCTGTCTGCCTTGTGTTTCCGGTTGGGACCAGGCGGAAGAGGCTGGGGGTAATTAAGATAAAAGTGATCTCATATTCCCGTATTGCTGTCTACGTCATGAAACAGACTGAAATGAAAACGAATGTCCTTATATGACCTACAAAAGAAAACAACTCTGATTGTTTCTATACTTGGTCTTTTGAACGCCTGTAACTATTGCAGCGGGGTAGGTGTACCAGGTGATTTACAGCTCGCTGCAAAGGAATTTCCATGGAAAATATTCACAATCAGTGATACGTTTGACTGTTTGAAGAAAGTAGCATGAGATTTTTTGTTAAAAACAATTTTTATACATGTACAGGAAAAAATCAGCAGTGAAATAAGATGTACTGTTTTGTCCACAGAGAGCGCCAAAATTGACATAAACCGAAATTACTAACAGGATCTTTCACAAACAAATAAAAAAAAAAGAAAAATTGAGAATTGAAATAGAAACCAAACATCAAGTTAAATGGAAAGACGCTGTATGTCCAGCATTATTATAAACAAAAATTACATTAATAGAGTTATTTATATACCTGAAAGATTACAAACATGTCTGAAGGAGGGCAGAGAGACTTTAGTTTTTCACTACATCAGATAATTCCAAAGTAACATACACAGTATATTAGCACCTCTTCTTCATGTGAATTGGAATTAGTCAGGGAAACCATCTGAAAATAAGAGAGTACTGGATTCATTTGAATTGGGATTTACCTGTTAGCTGTACATTCTGGATACAATTGCGGTTGCCGCTCTGCTGTGCCCCTCCAAACACCCACAGGCTCTGAGGACAGCTTTCTGGGACAAAGCAGCAGTGTTCATACCGCGAGTCCAAACCCTCCCACTCTGGGATGTCCCACTCATGATTATCTGGGGGAGTCAGAGAGAGGAAAAATACCCCAAAAAATGTCTAACAATATAGAAGACATGGGAACACAGATGACACTTCAAAGTAAACAACAATGATAAACACCTTTTAGCAATATGGTTTTTCACAATCAAAGTCAGTCAAAATTTTTGAAATTGCTTGTAACTGCAGACATAATATCTCTGCACAGTCTCTTTCAATTACCAAGATCAGTGGTTCTCAAACTATGGTATGGGCTCCCTGTGGTGGTACGCAAAGAAATCTCCACAATATAAAAAACAAACCCGATCAGCATAAAACCACAATTTTTGTATCTTGTATCTATTGGGTTGTATTTATATCAAATGTGTTTTCCCCTCTAAATTAATCTAGTTTTTGCAACAAACTTTAATCTGCTCAATTTATGCTCACGCACACACATAAACAACAACAGGAGTACGCCTCGCGTTTTGAAAAGTTCCACTCGATATTCCGTTATAGTTCAGTACTGAAACAACAGCAAACAGCTGTAGGCCTACATAACAGATATTCTGTGAATGTAGGCCTACAGTAACAGATATATGAACAGATATATTATATTCTGTGAATGTAGGCCTACATTAACAGATATATTAACAGATATATTATATTTGTGAATGTAGGCCTACATTAACAGATATATTAACAGATATATTATATTCTGTGAATGTAGGCCTACATTAACAGATATATTAACAGATATATTATATTCTGTGAATGTAGGCCTACAGTAATAGATTAATGTATGTATTTCCAAACAGGTTGTTGGTCTAAAGTTGTCATTTTTATTTTTCTGCACTTTTGTGTGTGCAAGTTCTAGCGCTAACCATTAGTAGGCCTACAGTGTGCCTGCCAGCAGACAATAATAAATAATATTCTTTTTTTATGAATTAATTTGCCTCTTGCATTAAAAATACGTGTTGAAATCGGCCTACAGTGTATTTCAACGTCTAACTAAGCATTACTAGTCTTAAATAGGAAGATTAAATATGGAAGATTGAATGTAAATGTGCAAAAACAGAGTCGTAAATGGACAGTATTGACATAAGTTAAAGTGCATGAGTGTAGACATGTTATAAGCAGAAACTATTCAATATAACGGCGAGTAGACAGACAAATGAAGTGAACATGAGTGCAGGGATAATTTGTAAATTTAACAAAATTGAACAACCTTAATACAAACGTGTACAAATGTAAACATTGTAGCCTGTTTTCAATTTGCGGAGTTAATATGACATTAATGATAACAACTTTGGCATCCATATGTGCACTTTTGTCTCTTATCAAGTTCACTCACATTTAATTAGCCTATAACCTCTATTAGCCTAACCTATAGTCTGTAACCTATAGCCTGTAACCTCAGGTGCAATCAGAGATAATAAGTGCAATAAGAAAACTTCCAGACAATCTAACTCATCTGATGTAACCTCAGGTGCAATAAGAGATAATAAGTGCAATAAGAAAACTTCCAGACAATCTAACTTATCTGATGTAACAGCCTTCACTTTAAGGTCACTGACTAGTCACATGCATATTACACAGGGTTTGTACAATTCTCAAACATTGTATTGAGTCATCATTAGGCTACTACTATGATGTCATGATTGTAACACAGCAAACCACTTTAAGTCTACTTCCAGTATCGGTGACATTGCCAAGACGCGGGAGTGCCAGCGTGTCGCGGGGCTTTCCAACGAGCAGCTGCTCAGCCTGCTCTCAGCGGGCCTCTCCGATTGGGGAAGAAGTGACGGCTTATATATGGAAGAGAGCGCGGTTCATTCAACATCACTTCACAGACGGGGAAAAAAACACTAAGAGACAGAAGAAGACGGACACGCTTTGGCGTTGAGAGGCTGGTCCTATCCGAGACGACGTGAAGGCCGTTAATTAATTGACGACATTGTTATTCAGGTACGTGGAAACATTTCTTTGAATACGATAATGTGACGACGTTGTATTTTTTCACGTTGTGAAACAATTTTCATTCTGACCAAGCAAGCTGAGGTAATAATAATAATAATAATAATAATAATAATAATAATAATATATTTATTTATAGCACCTTTTAAAAACACAGGTTTACAAAGTGCTTTGACAAACAGCAAGAACAAAGCAAACTAAACCAAACACAGAAAAACATTAACAACAGTAAGAATATAACAGATGCAAAATACCAAAAATAATTAAATACAATTCAACAGAAAAGAACCCAAAGTGCACGATACACAACCAGACATATATAACCAACCATCATAAGAACCATCATAAGAACCATCATAAGAACCCAGGAACACAAGAACCCAACAACACGAGCTGAGACCAAGAGGACCAAAGATTTAAAAGATGTAAGAAACTAAGAGATAAAAGCAAATAAAAAGCAATGAGAAGTTAAGCGTAGTAAAAGAAATAAAAACAAGTGGTTAAAGGATCAAAAAACCCAAAACTATAATATTAATAAAAATAAAAATTAACTATAAATACAAAATAAATAGACAAAGTAAGTAAGATAAGAAATTACCAAGTTAAAACACAAGAGGAGATTAAGATATGAGCATAAATACGAGATAAGACCATAAATAAAAGACAGTAAGAAGTAGAAGAAGATAAAAATAGTAAAACCAGTAAGAAGACATGCGTCAAAAGTATGTTTTAAGAAGGGATTTAAAAGAATTGAGGGAATCTGCAAGTCTTATCTCCTCAGGGAGGTCGTTCCAAAGTCCAGGGGCCCTGACTGAAAAGGCCCGGTCACCTTTAGTTTTAAGTCTGGACTTTGGAACGACCAGGAGGGCCCCACCCGAGGATCTAAGACTGCGGGCTGGCTCATATGGTGTCAGTAACTCTGTTATATAGCTTGGAGCCAGCCCCGTCCGTGCTTTAAAAGTAATGAGTAAAATCTTAAAATTGATTCTAAAACGTACAGGAAGCCAGTGTAATGAAGCTAAAATTGGAGTGATGTGATGTCGTCTGTTACAACCAGTAAGAAGCCTAGCTGCTGCATTTTGGACCAGCTGGAGGCGAGACAGTGACTTATTTGTGATTCCGGAAAAGAGGGAGTTACAGTAGTCAAGTCGGGAGAAGATGAGGGCGTGGATGATCTTTTCAAGGTCTCGTTGGGTTAGGATTGTTTTAATTTTGGAGATGGTGCGTAGTGGAAGAAGCTTGATCGGACAACTGTTTTGATATGGGATTCAAAGGTGAGATTGCAATCGAATGTTATTCCTAGATTTCTGGCGGTGGGTTGGACATTGGTGAATAAGGGACCGAGGCTGCTCTTTGAGATATGAGTGGTGTTTGGCGGGTTGAATACTATGATTTCAGATTTAGAATTGTTCAGTTGGAGAAAGTTTTGCGCCATCCAGCAGTTGATATCGTTTAGGCAGTTTCTGACAGCAGCTAGGCTCCTAGGGTCCTCAGGTCTCAAAGGAAGGTATATCTGTGTGTCGTCTGCGTAGCAGTGAAAGGAGACATTGTGGCGTTCAATTATTTGGCCAAGAGGCAGCATATAAATGGAGAATAACGATAGTGACGATAGTGATATATAGTAGTGACGATAGTGATATATTTTACCAAACTTACTTCTTTTTTTTTAATGCATATAGTTAAACAATGTGATAATAATGACAAAGTAGCTGGCCCTTGTGATTAGATATGTTGCCTTGCATGTCTGCTAAGCACGCCAACGTGGTTAAGCTAGGTACCGGCGGATGG